AAAGGGAGTGAAACCGGCGGGGGGGGGGGGCATTTTTTGAGCATTTGCACTGCGGTGGTTTTCCTTGTGCAACGTGTCAACTCTTGATCTTGCAGCAGATGGCTGCACGGAATATATTCCCCCCCCTTTATCTTACACGTTTCTGAAAAATGAAGTGTATTTCTAGCAAGGTATTCTGAAATCTGTGCAAAAAGTCATCCCAATTCAAGACAGGCAATTTGCCTTCTCCCAGGCTCTAATCCCCTTCTGGGCTGATTTCCAGATGTGCAAATTGTTTGGTCTTTGTCTGACTCTTGTTGCAGGATTAGGACTGCATCCCTATCATCTGTTCAGTGTAATATCAGTGCTGACAATACCAGTCACTATTAGGGATCTTGCAATTTGGTTTGATGCGTGTTTACTCGATGCATGTTTACTCAAGTCCTTGCTTTGTTAAATGGGGCCTACTTTCAAACAATCACACATTCAAGTACAGCCTTAATTTCCACCAGAGCTCATCAAGGCTTTTCTCTTGAACCTTTTTTCCTGGATTGTGTAATGTATTCAATAGCTGCCATTGAATGCATGATGTATGTGAAACATCTAATTGACTTGCCATGTTGAGCTTCGTCCTGGGCTAGGATCCAAATCCATCCAATCGCATTGCTAGCCCAGGAAGCACCTAGCCAATCACTTTACAGCAAGCTCCCTGAGCGGGAACGTCCGTGATTGGTCCTTATATGAACAACTGTATTGGTTGGTATCTGTACAGTGGGTGTGGAGGGGGTGGCCACAGGGCCGGCCCGAGGGGTTTGTGCGTCCTAGGCGAGGCCACCTCGTGGCGCCCCCCTCGGATGCCAACCTCCCGGTGGGGCCTGGAGACCTCCCAGCTGGCCGCCTGGGGGGGAAGACAGAGTGACGCCACGTGAGAGAGCGCCTGTGAGGTAGGTGGGGCTCAGAGAGCTCTCTGGAGAGAGCCTGCAGCAGGAGGAGGAGGAGGGAGGAGGGGTGGCAGGCAGGCAGGAGTGCACCGCCCCACCCAGCCCGGCCGGTCGCCTCCATGCGCGCTCCCTACTCTCGCCCCCCCGCGGCAGCCTGAAGTGGCAGAGAAGCGCCCGGCCGGCTGGCTGCTGGGGCCATGGAGCTGCAGGCAGGCCGCGGCAGCGGAGGAGGAGGCGGCAGCGGTAGCAGCAGCCTCGCCGCGGCAGCTGGCCCACTGGAGCGCCGGCCGGGCGTGGTGGGCCCTGGATCACCAGCGCATGCGGGGCAGCTGCCGCAGCGGCTCCTACACCTGGCGCCGCTGCCCGGTTGTGCTGGAGAAGGAGAAAGAGGAGCCCCCGCCCCCCCATGGTGCCCTCTACCTGCTCGCCACCTTCCTTCCTTCCTCCCTCCCCGCAGAGAGGGGGGGGCGGGGGGCAGAGACCCAATCCCCGTCGCCTTTCTTTTCTCTCTCGCCGGGAGGGGGGGGGCTCAGCTGCCATGGCTGCAGGAAAAAAGCCCACTGTCATAAATGCTCACAAGAAGAAAGCCCACGTGGAAAATTGCCCGCATGGAAAAGAAGCCCATATGGAAAAATACAATTTTTTATTAATTACAATTACAAATAGCATTTTTATTAATCACTATGTTTATTGATTTCTCCTGTCTAAATACTTGCCAGAGTCAGCCCTGCTAGCTTCATAGATCTATGAGGCCTTAACTACTTCTACTCTTTAGGAAAGAGGAGGAGGTATTGATTCCGGATCTGGCACCTCAAAAGGTTTTGGTCAATTTTGAGAAGGCTTGTATGAACGCAGCAAGGATTGCCTTTCCACAAGCTGAGGTCAAAGGGTGTTATTTTCACCTGTGCCAGAGCCTCACTAGGAAAATCAACAGTGCCGGCTTGAAGACTGAACATGAAAATTACACTGAAATCTCCTTGCTGCATTAGTCTTTGTCCCAATCAATGATGTGAGAACTGTTTTTGGTGAGCTTGCTGCCACACTTCCAGATGAAGACAGCTACAGTGAGGTGCTCACATACTTCTTTTTGACATATAGTGAGGGTGCCACAGGTAGAGATCCTCAGTTTTCTGTAAGAATATGGAGTCATCATGATGCAACCCTGGAACGGTAGCCAAAAGCTACAAACTGTTGTGAGGGATTTCACAATGCTCTTAATTCCCTATTCCACAGCAGTCATCCCAGTGTGTGGTCTGTATTTGATGGACTGCAGAGGGAGTGGGCTTGCCACAAACTAAATCTGGCTAATGCACAGGCAGGTCACCTAGAGGTGAAAAAGAGGAAATATGAAGCAGTACGGGACATGATTGCCACTTCTGTGCAGCAATGTGAGGAGGTGGAAGATAAACTTAGTAACTTAAGGAGATTGGCTAATTTGCAATGAAGAACTAGGTAAAGGTTCCCTTGCTCGAAAGCCAGTCGAGTCCGACTCTAGGGTTGCGGTGCTCATCTCAGTTTCAAAGCCGAAGAGCCAGCGCTGTCCGAAGACATTTCCGTGGTCATGTGGCCGGCATGACTAAACACCAAGGCGCTCGGAACGCTGTTACCTTCCCACCGAAGCGGTACTTATTTATCTACTTGCAATTTCTTGCTTTCGAACTGCTAGGTTGGCAGGAGCTGGAACCAGAGACGGGAGCTCACTCCATCATGCGGCACACTCGGGTCTCGAACTGCTGAACTACTGACCTTCCACAGCCTGCAGTTCAGCGTCTTAACCACTTGAGCCACCGCAGCTCTACTACATCTAACATCTGAGTTATTGTTGTTGTTGTTATTAAATTATTGTTGTTATTAAATGTTGCTGTTAAATACTTGTTGCTTTTATTTTAGGGTTAGGTAGTCTTGTGTCGTGGTCACTGGGTGTACCACAACTGTATTTGTTAAAATACAAGTAAAAGGAAATTGAGCTAGGAAATCAACTTATTGTAATGTTATCTTATGGTTTTGTTCTTAGTTGTAATTTTTAATAACAAAGTAAGTAAATAATATTAATTATTTGAAGAATTTTAAGCCATATAGTTGTTTAAAAGCTAGACAGTCTATGCATAATTTAACTTAACATCTTTCTGTCCTTAGAAATTGACAAATGGTAAATGAATAAACTTAAAAGTATTTAATTTTATTTTAAAATATTTCTATATGGAGTTTAATTTCGGTTGTTATTGTTTTTCCTTCTTTATTGATTACAAAATGGTCACTTTTATTACCTGTATTTTCCCTTCCAAGCCTTTACACTCAGGAGCATTAAAGCCCTCTTCATACAGGCCACTTCTGTATAGTAATGAAGTAATTTACTAATAACGTAGCAAAATTATTATTTAATTATACTTGATAAAATCACAACACAAATTGTTGCATGGGAATATGACATGTTTTAATCTAAAATAACAATATAAAATATATGTAGTACCTGTTCACTCTCATAAATGGAGATTAATGGTTATTCCAGTTTGGTGTAGTGGTTAAGTGCGTGGACTCTAATCTGGGAGAACCGGGTTTGATTCCCCACTCCTCCACTTGCACCTGCTGATGTGACCTTGGGTCAGTCACAAGCGCTGGCACAGCTGTCCTTGAAAAAGAGCAGTTTGTGTCAGAGTTCACTCAGCCCCTCCCACCTCACAGGGTGTCTGTTGTGGGGAGGGGAAGGGAAAGGAGTTTGTAAGTCGCTCTGAGACTCCAAGTGAAGGGCGGGGTATAAATCCAATCTCTTCTTCTTCTTCAATTATAAATAAACTGTGGAATGCATTCTATTTGGGCTTCAATTAAAGCAAAGGTAAAGGTTCCCTTGCTCGAAAGCCAGTCGAATCCGACTCTAGGGTTGCGGTGCTCATCTCCGTTTCAAAGCCGAAGAGCCAGCGCTGTCCGAAGACATTTCCGTGGTCATGTGGCCGGCATGACTAAACACCAAGGTGCACGAAACGCTGTTACCTTCCCACCGAAGTGGTACCTATTTATCTACTTGCAATTTCTTGCTTTCGAACTGCTAGGTTGGCAGGAGCTGGAACTAGAGACGGGAGCTCACTCCGTCATGCGGCACACTCGGGTCTCGAACTGCTGAACTACCGACCTTCCACAGCCTGCAGTTCAGCGTCTTAACCACTTGAGCCACCACAGCTCCGGGCTTCAATTAGTTAGGTTTTAAATAGCTTCCACGCATCCTCTAAGGTTTTGACTCTCTTGTGTTTCCCCTTCAGCTTCCTTTTTACTATTTCCCTCATTTTTGTAAAGCTTCCTCTTTTTAAATCAATTGTTACAGTTTTGGGACTTTGGGTAACTTTCTATTGCTCTGAATGCTGAACTTAATAGCATTGTGGTCACTGTTCCCAACTGGTGTAACCACCTTTACATCTCTCATCACCAGGTCTGGAGACCCACTCAGAACCAAGTCCAAGATCACAACCCCTGTGGTTGGCTCAGTGACCAACTTTTCCAGTGACCAGTCACTTATGATGTGTGAGAAGTACTTGACTGACTGCAGGCCACAGGGGTGTATATATATTTTAAAAAGTAAATGGTCTAAGCATTTTAGTGTGAATTATGGCAGAAAGCAGATGTAGTTTTATCTTTAATGTCTTGAACACAAAGCAGAAGGTCATTTAGGCATTTGTTTGATTTTTAAGGGGATAGGGGTGGTGATGAATATACACCAACATGACTGAGAATATCAGTATACCTTTCTGCACAAAATGAAAAAGAAACCATCCAAACAAAAACTTTAGCCCCATTAGAGCATGGGTCACTGTCTGCACAGATTTCATAAGAGCACCTGAGACATCACATCCGAGTCCAAACTACTGAAACTCACTCTTGGCCCAGTTTGCTCCACAGTGTGAAAACAGGCTTTAATGAAAGAATGTTCTTACTCAGTAACATCATAATGAATGGGACTGCGCATTACATAACTTTACAGGTTTACAAACCAAAATATACATTTAAAATAACCTTATATAGGGATACATTTAAAACGCAGAACATTTTCCACTGTGTTTGCTAACCCAAATAGCTATTTTGCAGTTGCGTTGGGGGCATCAGTATGAAACACACAAGAGAGGATTTGCAGTCATTAATTATTTTTATTTTGAAGTGGTCTCTGTGCAGTGAACTGCAGCAGATTTAATGCTCAGGCAAACTGTACTGAACTCTTCAGGAGTCCTTCAGTGCCTGTTACTGAAGTATATATGCTCTCTCTATTCAGCTTCAGGTAGGGAATTCTAGAATCCTACTACCATGTTTCCATGGACAGGTCAGTTTGGTATGCTCTGACCATTAAAACTTCAGGCTTAGATTTGTTTTCATGCTATTGTCAGGCACAGATACAAAGCATGAATGTGGAACAGTGGTAAAGCAGATACTCCAACAGTATTATACGCAACCGCCTCCCCCATTTGTCCTCCGCATCTGGAGTCAAAGGTATATTGCTGCTGAACATGGAATATATTTTATGTAATTAATGAACCACAGCTACAGATCCTCACACACAGCAACAAAGTTGGGCACACTGCTGTATATGATAGTTTTCACTGCAGTGTAGTTACAGGGCTAGCTGCACGGGTGGACCACAGAGTCTCTGAGAGCTCAACTGGAGATCTGCTCCCTGAACTATGAAACTCCCACCACTTTTGAAACTTTCAGGTTTTATTTTCCTTCATTTTATTATACTAAAAATAATCCTACTTAGAGAATGTCAGAATGATTCTGTGCCAAAGAATCCTACTCCAGAAAAAAAATACTGATAAATCTAAATAACTTTATGCCTTTCCATAAACTTGTAAGGTAAAAAACCCCCACTTTCTTCAAATAAGTTTCCCCACAAATAGGATAAGCTGTTGGCTCATTCAAAATATGCCATATTTCATATTGCAGGAGAGGGTTCACATTATGCAATGGTTCTCTCCAACAGTCCCCAGTCCCTGTACACAGAAAACTAGCACATCAGGGAGAAGGGCTGCTCAGCTATATACCTTTTTTCCAGAACATGCAGGGAATTTTTTTTCTTTCCAAGAAGGAACACTGAATCATCTAAGTTAAACAGGCATTGAGTTTACCACATCTATGTCTATGAGAACTATGTCTTTAAGGATGATAGAGATTATGGATGCTGCAACATTACAAAATACATGATAGAATGTGTGAAACTAAATTATCTCAACAGACCACCATGAGTTACTAGCATGGAACAGGAACTGATGAGTCAGGAGGCACATAACAATGGCTGACTGAAGATCAGTATACAGGTGAAGTCCATCCACCGAGAGGCTGCAGTACACACATCAATGGATACAATAGCACAATGAGAACCATAACTGAATTCCTGGAAAATCCAGTTGAGAATTACAGCACAATGACAGGTTGCATCCACAAATCACTGGGTATGGTGCTGGTGATGAGCAATCCAACCAAAGTTAAGCACTTCTCTGTCCCAATGGTTACAACAGGCCAGAGCAATTCCATAATGCGAGTCTGTCTTTCAGCTACAACAGACCTTCTGCTGGGTCTTCCTGCCCACTTTCCTGGAAGGGAATGGCAAGGTTGCTGCTCTTCTCACAACACTGTTTCCACTGCTTGACTGCCTGCTTCCCTCTTTATGTCACAGAGGTTAGGCTAGAGCCACAAGTCCATGAAGATATATATTTGAGATGGCTTCTTTCTGCTCATTTCATAAGCAGAGCACTGATAGGATTTCTTAAATATCTCACTACATCAATAGTAAAACTGTCCATGATCCAGACTGTTTTGGAACAAGTGTAAAGAGGGGGGGGGGGTTAAGTGGAACTGGGTCCAAGTTCTTCATAAACAAGCTTCTAGGAAACTCTGCCAGGAGATCTCTTTGTGGTAAGCAAAGTGTCAGCATCTGGAGTCACCCAGCTGTCACCTACTGAGTGAGTGACGCAGCTCTTCATACATTATTTGGTCCTAATGGGAATGAAAAGAAGGGTGAAGGGAAGGCAGTCAGCAACAATAGTTAGATGGTGACTTTGTACCACAGCAGAAACTGAAAGTGATGGAAGACAAGCCCCTATGCCTATGGCAAATATTTGATTATAGTAATTACAAAAAGAAAAATCAAGATAGAAGAAGCAAAGTAGCTAATTTCTTAGCTTATGGCCTCTTGAAAGCTGAAACCCTGAAAATCTTGCTGGTCTCTAAGGGTGCCACTGGACTCCCATCTAGCTCTTCTACTGCAGACCAACACGGCAGCCCTCTTCTTAATTAAATATTTTAATTTGAATTCTGTTACAGGCCATTTGCATACGGAATTATATTTTCATTCCTATCAAAGAAGACAAAGCAGATGATGTTGGATCCCGCAGAAAATTATGAGACTTGAGTTAATTATGACTAAGAAGCTCGAGTGTCGTCAGTGGGGCTTAGATGCAACTAATGGTTGTTGGAGTCAGGCCAAAGTATTTAAAACAGATTACAGGACAGTGTTGACTGTGGCTGAGCACGCATTTACCAAATCAAATTTGCTTGACAGAAAAATACCAAGCTTCTTCCCAGTTGTATTTTCAGAGACCTGGTCTAGCTTATAGTATTGCCTACTAAGACAGAGCTATCTGAGATCGTTTAAGGGACTGGAGATACGGGGGACTGAATCTCAGACCTTCTACCACTGAGTGGCCCCTCCCCTTCTTAAGAACATAAGAGATGCCAATGCTGGATCAGGCCAGGGGCCCATCCAGTCCAACACTCTGTCACACAGTGGCCAAAAATATCAGGTGCCATCAGGAGGTCCAGCATGCAAATGAAAAAAACACAGTAACACAAGCCAAGATTAAAATAGACTTTGATGCAAAGCCTCCCAGAAGCGCTGGGTGGAAGGCTTGAGTGAAGACAGCCATCCTATTTGAAGCAGTTTTAAATAAGATGGGTACATGCTCCAGGCAGAGGCATGGAAAAGACAACCTCATCTACGGCATGTTGTTGCCTTTCTGAATACGTTAAGCATTCAGCCACATTTATGCACTTAATATATACTTTGTTAATAAGACAACCAACTGTTTATAGCACAGGTTGGTGACAAAGAAGACTGCTTCCATCTGACGTGTGATAATTTTGTGCAATCACCCTCCTCTATCAGAATGAGAAGCCAATTCTCAATGTTCTGTTGTGGTGATTTAATGTTGCATGAAAATTTTGTTTTGTTTGCCACCTTGAGCATTATAAAGGAAAGACAAAATATAAACCTGATAAAATAGCAGCTTCCCTATTGTGTTATAAAACTGTTGTCTCCTTCTCACCTTAAATCAATTGGCTGAAAACTCATAGCATTCCTTACCTTTCTTGAAACAGAAGATTTCACTTTCTTAAAAGCTTCTTCAAAGTGTTTTTTGTTAATCTTGATATCTCCTGTGGAGAATATAGCATAATAAAAGTAGAAAATCATAAGAAGATCCCCCAATATCATGTTAAGGAACCGAATGTACTACTTGCATTCATTAACAAAAGAATTCAAGGGAGAGATTTAATGCAATACAATCTGCCATAGGTTTGCTTTCCCACTATGAATGTCTACCCATCTCTGTGGTGATTAATTCAGAACTGAGCTTAATCACATGTTGCCATCCTGACAAACTGACATATTTACCCAATGCTAATATAAGCTGTCAAGAACATGTCAATTATGCAAGCCTCACTAAGAACTTGTGACAAGATAGGTGTTGATGAAGATTTGGATGCATCAAAATGAGCAAGGTTATGGCCAGAAGGAACACCTTCTGCTGCTTGTTTACACTGGACAGTTTAGCATTTCAGATCTAATCCACTTAACTGGGGTAAAATGAGCCCAGATCCTGAACTGTTTCCAGTTTGCTCTAAGAACTCAGTTTACACTTCCGACGTGAAGAACCATGGGACCAATTATATGATCGGGGAGAGCCAGCTAACCTCCTGAGAACCAGCTAATTCCCACCAGCAAGGGCTAGTGGATGGTCAAACTAAAAATTTGGCAAATGAAAAAGCATGGGGATCAGCATAAATCCCCCCCCCACCATAATCTCCTTTATGAATCAAGCCTTCCATGCAATGCCTCATCATGCAGAGGTCTGGTTATTGCAGCTATTTTGGAGCCTACCTCTCCCCAAAAGTATGAGCCAGGATGCCCATTTCACTGAGATGTAGTCAGTTTTTCAAGTCTGCACTGCTGTTATCCCTTCTCTTTCATGGCAGAGGGCAAAAGGTCTAAGGCAATGAAGCATGGAACTTCTTGTAGTGTGTTCAGCTTTTGTCAGCTGATATTGCAGAAATGCTACCTTTACACACAAGGTTCCAAAACCAGAGAAAAGATAAGCCATCAGATCTAATCTAACTCTGCAGGCCTATTTAAGGTGTCACCTTCACTGTGCTACTCCTTCCACATCATGTGGAAAGGTAGAGGAAAGCAAACACAGTCAAGAGAATGTGTTAAATACTCCATATGAACATAGAGCTTGCACCATATACACACTAATGCCAAATTTATTTCCCACGTTTCATTTATCAATGCCTACAATATATTCTCAAGTACTCACATTAATGTTCAATGGCTGGATTCCAGAGGTAGGCACTACTTAAAAAATAAAACCAAAGAAAAAGACCTATGCTCTTTTGTCAAATCACATATTTCTAAATAGTTGGGCAACGTTACTAAAAAACCTTCAAGCTAAAACGGACACCTAAAGCACTATTCAGAAATATGTCACATAGCCACATGTCACTGCATCATATTAAAAGGAGAGGAGAATCTCACTCTCATATAAATGAGTACCCACTTCTGCAGACTGAATTCCTTACAGTAATACTACTGGGGGAGAAAAACCCCTAGTGTAAACAAAGCATTTGAATGAGAGTAATCCAGTTTCCATAAACCATTCAATCTTGGGTTTTCTACAAAGTCTACAAACAAAGGAAGTAATTATATTACCGTGATACACATCTCAGGTTCATTTCATAACAACTCCAACTACAAAGTGATTCTGTCATAGATGTGGGTCATTAGTGACAGAGAGGAGCCAATCAGGAGGGGGAAAAACTGCCCACTTCACATCACTGAACTCAAGGCACAGAGACGAGTTTTCTTTTGAACGGTCACATATTGTGTGCAAAAACAGGCTTTCCCACATGGGCTGCCCTTCCACGTTGTCTGAAAGGAACTGGTTTCTTTCACACCCTTTGTCAGAGCATTGTTTCCATTCCCTCAGTACTGCCTGTCAACTACCAGTAGATCTTCAGCATCTCAAGCCCAGATAGTTCAAAGCCCAGCTACCTGAGATCCTTTTAACCGAAAATACCAAACACTGAATGTGCGACTTTCTGTATATAAGGTATGTCTACCATTGAGCTCCTGTATAACATGAGAGTCAGAATTTACTTCCAGCTTTTAAAAAAATAATCTGTTTATTGTTTTTTGACAGACAAACACACAATGGACATATACATATTTAAGCATATTGTAACATTCATATCTGGATAGATAGCTTAATTATAGATTCTCCAATCAAAATTAAGATTACTTACTTATACATTTAGTGCCATTTCCTATTCTCCTTTTCCCATCCAATATCTTCGAACATGTATTACAAGTTTCTATAAATTACTTTAACAACGAAGTTTATAGTAGATTTAATTTACAATTCATATAGTATCAAAAATGTTACTACCAAAGAGGCTTCATTTTAATAATGCCATTCTATTTGCTTAAGTAATTTCTTATTCCCTATTTGAACTGCTTTAAAAATAACAATTTAAATTCCCTCTATTTCTAGCCATCCACATCAACAACTTAAGATCTTATATCAGCATCTTACTTTCCATCTTTTGCTTCTATACTTTTTAATATATGGAACTTAACTGGAAATTTACTGTTATAATACCACTTTACTAATACCTTACTAATATGCCTATTCAAACATTCTCACCTTCTCTTAAACCATCACTATATATTTAGGGAACCATATCTTAATGTTTACACAGTTCACTTACATAGTTAACATTTCATTTCTTATTACTGATTCAAATTCATTTTGTATTCTAATAATGAAGAGCCTATACTACCTCTTGATCACCCATTTATAACAACATTTAAGTGTCTCTTATATTTCCATTTAAATTATCTTTTAAACATTTTGTTAATTCTACTAATTAGAGAGAAACCTACTTCTGACCCTACTCTGATATACTATTTTTCCCATCAGTCCATCAATAAAGAGGAAAGAAAGTTCAAAGAAATATCAACCAAAAAAACCCACACCAAAAGCAAAGAAAAAAAATCCTAATATTTCTACTTTA